TGTATTAAAAAATAATAAAGTTAGATTGGGTTTTAGGTTTAACATTTATGTGATATAATTGTGAGAAACATTAAGATATACAATTTATAAGGTTCAGTTATTCAGTATTTATTTTGGTTTTGGGTGAGTAAGTGATCTTTGAGGAGAGACTTGAAATTTATAAACAGGTAGTTTTCTTTTATTTTACAGGTAATGAGTTCCAGATTTTAGGGCCTTTTATGTGCATTGAGTTTTTGCAAGTAGTGAGATGGACACGAGGAACATCAAAGAGTGATCTGTGCCTTGTGTTATGGTCATGTGTTCTGTTGAGGTGGCAAGGAGATGTTTGAGGGGAGGGTTAATATCAGAGTAAGTGTTCTATGTATGTAATAGGTGCAGTAATAAGTATGAATGTTTTGTATGGTGAATAGGTTTAGTGTATTGAATATTGGTTTGGGGTGTGCTGCCTATAGTGAGAAATTTGTTATCATTCTAACTGCAGCCTTTTGTTGGGTAATTAGTGGTCTGAGATGGTTACTTGTTGTTGAGCCCCATGCACAAATTCCATAGGTGAGATAGGGGTAAATAAGAGAGTGATATAGGGCCAGGAGGGCTGACTGTGGAGCAATAGTACCGTATCTTCGATAGTATGCCTACAGTCTTGGAAATTTTCCTTAGAAATTTTTTGTATATGTGTATGAAATTTGAGTCTATTATCAAGGGATTCCTAAGAATTTTCCCTCTGTTAGCTTTGTGATAGGTGATCCGTTTTTCAAATTTTGTTAAGAGGGGGAAATAAACCAGTGAACGGGTTTTTTATCTTACGTTATGTAGTTTGCACTTCTCTACAAAACCACCTGCAGAAGTGACAGGTTATCAAGATAGAAATGTTTTCATTTCTCAAAAAAGTTCAGGATATACATGGACCCCGCTTAACACACCTCCAAATGCACCAATTATGTAAGTTTTTTTATTTAAATGCGTTTGTATGTATGTTTGGGGGTCGAGATGGACTAATCTACTTCACAAATTCCTTATGGGGAAAAAAATTTGGGCAGTACTGGCCCTGAAAATACTACGGAAAGAAAAAAAGTTTTTTAACCGGGGGCCACTGTCTTTTATCCATTCAAGAACTTTTTAATTGACAGTCTTTTTATTTTTTTCAAAGGGAGCTGTCATTCAAACAGTAAATACCGAGCAAGAGGGCCGCTTTGGTATAAAAAATTTTTTGTCCCTGTGATTGTGACATGGCCTGGGGTTTGGGTATTGTTGTATACACGGGGAGTAAAACATTGAAAAATACCAAGATGTTATTGGGTATCTCAGGTGACGTAGTGAGAAACATGATGGCACCTTATCTTGGTAAGGGCATACATTATATACCGATAACTGGTACACAAGCCCATTACTCAGTGATTTCATGCGAGTGAACAAGACAGATGTGTGGGCACAGTGCGTTCTAATCATAAAACATATGCCCAGGCTCAACGCAGGTGTTCGTGGTGATGACGTGCAGGTGTTTACTGCCAATGACATCATGGCATGACAAACGAGATGTCACAGTGTTGACAACCATTCACCGTAATGAAATGCAAGACAGTGGCAAAGTTGATCGAGTGACTAATGAACGTATTCGAAACCCAGTGTCAGTGATTGATTATACACAAAACATGCGCTTGGTTGACAAGTGTGACATGCAGATTGGTTTTGTTGACTGTGTTCGTAAGAGTTACAAGTGGTACTGAAACTTTTCTTCCATCTCATGGACATTTCAATGCTGAATGCATATAATATGTACCAAATAAAGACTGGTAACAGACCACCGTATGGTGAATTTTGTTTGTCTGTTGTCAAACAACTCATAATGAAGTACCAGGTAACAACACCTGCAATACAACATGGTCCTCGAATTCATCACATATACCCCAAGAGTTTGAGGAGAGAAGGTGATCATTTCATAATACAGCTTCCTTCAACTCAAAAGAAATTTGCTCAGAAGAGATGCATTGTCTGTGCACAAACAAAACGACGGCAACAAAGACGCAAAGACACTCGGTTTATGTGTGAGGAATGTAAGGTGCCTCTGTGCATGGTGCCTTGTTTCAAGGAGTTCCACAAGCTCCAGCAGTTCTAAAACCATGTCCAGTGATTGTAAATATGTAAATATATGATAGAACATTAGTATTATACAATATTTGTGCATGTTATTGTAATAAACAACAGTGGTAAACAATAATATGATAATAACTTTAGTGCGGTTATTGTGTTCAATACAGTGAGTATATATATCAATTATATACAGTATTGGTCTCTCAGGCCCCAAATGTTAGTAGGAATAGAAAAAATTGGAAAAGAAAAGAAAAAACAACTAAAACAACAAAATAATATAATACGCGTATGTGGAATTCGTCGATGTTGCCGCCACCACATCATTTTCTATAAACTTCTTGGCACTGTATCTCGGTAAGTAATGATCAGATTCTATTTTTTTTTTGTTTTATTACCTTCACAAAAATATGCTCTTTAATTCTGTAAGAAATTTTTTTTTTTTTTTTTTTTTCAAAATTTCTTGGACACTGGTGCGTGACTTCAGATTTTGGCCTTGGACCCTGAAAGGGTTAAAACAACTCCAACTCTAATGCAAAAGCGTTTGTCACAACTGAGGGAATTAGCCGCAAAAAACTTAGCTAAGGCCCAATCCAAGATGAAGCATTGTTATGACAAACACACACGCTCTCGTTTCTTCAAACCAGGTGACAGTGTGATGGCACAGAAATTCTTACCTGGACACGCTCTGCAACCTAGAAACGAAGGTCCTTTGGAAGTGATTGAGCGGCTCAATGAGTTAAATTATGTACTACAAACTCCAGGAAAGAGAAAAGCAAAACGTACTTATCACATAAACCAACTTAAGGCTTACCACCCTAGTATCGTACCAGTTTCGAAGTTCTTTCTTTTGCTGAAACTGAAAAGTAAGTCTGCC